GGATTCGGGGTTTTGGGTTTAGGATTTTGAGCTTAGGCTTTAGGGTTTAGCGAAGCAGGTACACGAGGACATTGCCTCTTGCTTCTGAAATGAAGCTGAAAGTGGTCCGTGATTGTACGGGGCGGCCACCTCTGTTTGCTTATTATGTTATGTTGTATTATGTTATTCTATACTCTGTTTTGCGGGGCACCGGAGTCTACCAAGCTGCTCGCGAGCCTGACGTGGAACAGAAACTGGAGTTTCTGGTCACAGGGTGCTGCATGTGATGTGGGCCCCTCTCATCAAGCCTCCTTAGACAAGCCCCTGCTTTTAAGATGCTCTTCCTTGCCGCCCGGCTACTAAAGTTCGACGAGAAAGCCTGACGGAGGCTCTGCCAAACCTGGTGATGACCAGGTGAGAGGCAAAGGTGAAGGGGTGGAGGGTAGGGAATGAGCTGCAGGGTGCAGAGATGCTGCTGGGGGCAGCTGGTAACGCGAGTCGAAAGGAAACCCAACTTCTGCAACAAGGTGCGCAGTCATTGTGGTCAGACTCGGTAGTGTCGAGGCCGTCCACGTCCTCCCAATTGAAGTCACAAAAGACAAGGAGAAGAAGCTCGGTATGTTGGCTCTTTGATGCTTCAACTCCGGCTATGCTGAGGCTGTGCGCGGTATCATGCAATGATGCTGAGCTGATTTCGCCCTCCTCCACTCTGCAAAACCAACCTCCTATGGATAGCACTCTTTTTTTTGAAGCGTCTCTTCTGCAGCATCTGATGCCGAAGCCCCAAAGCCAGAACCACATAGTCGAACACTCCATGACCCGAGAACAACCATGTGTCGCATCGACAAAACACGCAAACAACAAGAGCAACAATGCTTGCAGTCTTAACAATGACAGTGCCCTGCAATGCAATCCAGCATTGCCCAGAATCATTGTGATTGTGATGAATCCCTCTCTCTGAGCTCCTCCCAAGATTCCCGCACTGCCAGACCAGCATGATGCAGAGCGCTCCAGCACCAAACCTGTGCACTATATATATATACATATATATATACATATACATATATAGATAGGTATCATATGTATATATATAGAGATACTATATATATATATATATTTCTGTTTTTAATAGTATGTATATATGTATCATTATATTATATTTCTTATACTGTCGTAGCATTAAAGGTAAGTCCTGCTTTGGGCATATAGGGACACCTCCGCCCCAGAACACTCCGTCTCGAGGCATTGCTCTGCGCTCTGGCCAGAGAGTCCATGGGATCTCCCTCCGCCGCACGTGCGATGTATCGAATCTTCTGCAGCTCTTGGGGAACCGAGAGAAACACTCTCTGCCCATCAGTCTACTGCACTGTACTGTTGAGCTTCCGATCAAACCGACCGATGGCCAACCCAACCCATTGAGAACAACTGTCGTAGCCAAATGGCCACGGCGAGTGCAAGCGCAAAGCCACAGATAAGTTAAGAGTGATCTACTAGGTGCTTCCACACTCTCTGGGCACTCAAAACACTCTGACAGGCTTCCATGTTCCGAGGCGCAGCTGTGGGAAATTCTATTGCAAATACAGGGAGCCGGTACACAGAACGGAGTTCGGCCATACCGCAAGGAGCGCGCAGTGTCCACTTTTCTGTGAAGCGGCAGCCGGCTTCCATGGAGCTCTCTGGCGCTGTATTGCAGGCCAGTGCTAAAAAGTAGCGAAGGCCGTAATGAGCGGCACATGCACGCTGGCGGACAGCACACAGTTGCTTTGACTGCTGCCGGCTGAAGCTCGGAATTCTGAGTAGACTAACCTAAATCCGAGGTATGTATTGCAGGGAGTCACTCCTGCACTAAATCGTATTTTAAGAGAGGCAGATATCCCTCGGCAAGCAGTTTCCTCTTTTCAGGCATTTTGTCAGTTTCACGTGCGGGATGCTTTGGGCGTAGCTGCAAAAACAGTAGCACTTGCCGAGGAAACCGCTCAGCTAGCGACAACTAGCCGCTAGCTGAAAGTTGCCCGTTGACATAAAAGGTCTTGGCTCTTGCCGTCAGATGGAAAATCGTGTAAAAGCACATTGAAATTCCAACTCCGCTCTTAACAGGTCCGACATGCACGTCTCAGGTTCAAGACGGGCGTGGCACTTGCAGCGGCTACCTCAGAGGAAGGCAACACACGGCAGGGTCACCTCGTGGACCCATATATTGTACTTAGTACTTGTCGGCGGAGAAGAATCTGGCCCCACATCTGTCCCCAGTGCACAAAGGCCCAATCCTATCAAACTACTATCACAGCATGCACCTGGCTGCAGAAAGCCACCTGAAACCTATCTCCGGGCCTGAAGTCAGCTCAACACTTCTGACACGGCTCGATAGCAGCGCTTTCAGGGTGCCCCAGAGCCCGAGCCTGGGTGCAAAAGAGGGGAAGGGCTAAAGAGGTCAAGGCCCGTGAAGCATGCGTCATGTAACTTGATAGCCCTAAACCCTAGGCCCTAAGCCCACTATATATAATTAGGCATCATAATACACATACATACATACATACATACATACGTACATACATACATACATACATACATACATACATGCATATACAAATGTATGTATGTATGTATGTATGTATGTATGCATGTATGGATGCATGTATGGATGCATGCATGTATGTGTGTACGTGTGTATGTGTGTATGTATGTATGTATGTATGTATGTATGTATGTATGCATGTATGTATGTATATATGTTACATGCACTGACAATATCTATGTCTATATCTATATCTATACCGAAGACTTCTGCAACCCCCCCACACTCAGTCGTCTCCGCCAAGGATCATGGACACAACTTGAAGCCAAGCAGGCAGGAATCCGTCCTGATTGTGCGCTCGCTCTACCTCGCCTGCCTACCTACGGACCTACCGATTCAGCGACCTGTGGCTCGCATTGTGCTTACTTCCTCACCTCTCGCCGCTCTCGTGCATGCTTATGAAGGGAGTACCGTCGCTGCCTGCTAGTTAGCAATAGGACTGATCAAGCATGACGATCGAAACATTTTGCATCATCCTCATGACCCTGATTGGGATGGTGGCGATGGATGCGGGATGATTGTGATGATGGTATTGTTTCTGATGCTGGGAGGCTGCGGATGACAATGGCGACGGCGGTGATCGTGGTGCTACCAGTGGTGATGCTGCAGTCGATGGTGCTGAAGACACAGATGAAGAGGATGGTGATCACGCCACGTATTGGCAGCGCCAACGACGAAGCTGACAAAGTGGAAGATACCGCCGTGATGATCAGGTTGAAATCGTCGGAATCAAGCATGACAACGATGATGATGATGGTGATGACGATGATGAAGGCGATGATGACATTGACGGCGCCGCCTGTGATGATGCAATGATGCTGTCGGTGCTGGTACTCGTAGGCATCGCGGCATTTCTACGGCAGGTTTGTTCTTCTGCATAAGCCATTTACGCCATCGACCGCACGAGTCCTAGTAATCCCTTGAAGCCCTTGCCCCTAATATTAAACGGGGTGCGGGGGGGCCCTCCCCCCAATAAACACCCGAAACATGTTTGCATTATTAGGGGGGCTTTTCTTTCCCACTTTACACTGAGGATCTTGCTCCGGCACTGGCTCCTGCTCTTGCTGTTGCTCCTGCTTTTGCTCTTCCTCTCGCTCCTAACTGTTTTTGCTTCTGCTCTTGCTTTTGTTATTGCTCCTGCTTTTGCTCTTACATGCCCCGAACTCAAAAAAGGTTTTGATTTCAAGGGGGTTTGCCGGAAAGTGTTATTATTAGGGGTGTTTACTAAATGGGGGAAGGGATTAGATTCATTAGATGGTAGAGATTCAACTATCTGCAACCTCCAACTTGTGGCATGCGGCAATAGCACAGGCTGCCAATATCGCAGAAACAACCGAGGGCGCGAATCCGTCGCTGGTAACCTGGCACAACATCAGGCGGACTCTGACGGCACAATTCTCACGCCAACCACACCCAAGCGCCAAAGTCGTGCATGCGGCGAGGTCACATCTTGCCCTGCCAGGAAGAGACCATCTGGCCACCGCTGGATTATGGGCTTAGCAAAAAGCCAGTTGGTGTCCGCCCATGTCTTCGCCAAAGTCTGCTGCAGCCCATAGGACCTACCAGGCCGAGGGACGATGGGCGCTGCAGCAGCTTCGGACAAGTGTTCTGTATCTACTACTGAGGCACTCAGGACTGACTGAAACCCAACAAATGCAGCAGAAAACCGTGTTGGCACAGTCGTGAATCTCTCCCAATGCTTGTGTCCGCGAACTGACCCAAACTCCGCACTCTGGTATCCCAAGCATCTCCGCACATCGCCGAACAAGTGTGTGTGTGTGTGTGTGTGTGTGGGTGGGGTGCGTGTGTGTGTGTGTGTCCTGAACTGAAACCATTATTGGTGCTGCCGTGCTGCTCTCCCTGGGTCCTGGGCCACTCAAGGGCACGTCAGGGTCAGTGGCTTTGGTATCGGCACGGTTGTGTAGACAGGAGTTCAAGATGCATGTCCGAAACCCCACCCCAATCCACAAGAGCACACCCTCAGATGGAGCCCACACTGCCGGGGGGGCCCAGCCCGCTAGTTTCACGTGATTCCGGGAACCTGCAGCACTCCTTGAGGGTTTAGGGGAGATTTCTTGAGAAGCTGCAGAGCAAGTGTCTTCAACTCACCAAAACGACAAAAAGAAACCACGGAAACACCCCTAGTCCTCTGGGCGATGCCCTTCGAGCCTTGTTTCGGACACGCTTCCTGTCCAAAAGGGGCCCCAAATTTGGCTGAAGGCAAAAGGCAGACCCAGCTTTGCTATCTTTTCGACGGCCCTCACACTCAGCAGAGTGGCTTGCCCAGAAAGAAGTTGGTGTCCAGCGGCGTCCCCAAGCTTACGTACTGGACGCGGCCCCTTACTTGGGGGAACCTGAGATTGCACGGTTCCGAATTCGCCGATACAGCCAAATGCATGTCAGAAGGCTTCGCCTGGTGCATGTTCTGATTTGCGTGACCATGTTCTCCTGAAACTTCCGAATGGAACGCTACAAGTACCTTCCTGGCACAGTTGTGTTTCTCATGCTTGCCTCACGCGTTCCATGCTTGCGCCCTGTTCTTCACGTGCGCCTTATACACGTCGTTTCATGTCATCATCTTGACTCACTGGCTAGACGATCTACGGCCGCATTATCAAGGAAGGGAACATCTTTCATTCATGCACAGAAAGTATCGCCCAAAAGACTAGCACCTAGCAACATTCCGCAGGCGGCCCAAGTACACTTCTCAAAACCCCCGCTGCAAGTAGGAACGGAAATCCAGTATCCGCTCCTCCTGCACCCCCAAGATGCTTCCGGGTTCTCTGGGGCTGTGTGAACAATAAATGTATGCAATAAGAACGATCGACCTGCAGGGCAGTGCTGAGGGAACGAATTTGGGCACTTTTCCAAGGCCGCTCCCAGCTGAAACTGCAGATTTGGCCCAGGAAGACCCCGAGAGACAAAGAGCTTTGCAGCTGTGTGGCTGAGTGTAGAGCATGTCCATCAAGCGAAGTTCGTATCTCTTCTTCAGGTCTTCGTAGTCCTGCGGGAGACTGGGTCAAGAGTCTCAGAGGTCAGGAAGCCACGAGGCCGGAAAATAGACTACGCCGAGGCGCCATCCAAAGAGGACGCCGAGCCAAGCCCAGCCAAACTGAGCCAAGAACCACAAAGCCCGAACCAGCCAAGAGAGTCAACAGAGTGGGAACGACTTAGAACCCCTCGGCTCACTCGCATCGGCGGGGAGGCCGCCTACCAGCACCGTTCAAGACTCTGCGGCTCGGCTGCCCGGATGTCTCGTGCATCATACGCATCTCTACCTCTACCCACCACAAGTATATTGTCGCTATACTGTCCATTCACAGCATAGCAATTGAGAGAGCCGGTGCTCTCAAGCCAGAGACCCGAAATGTGAAGCCTTGCAATCGTGCGTGGCTGCTCCTGGCCGCGATGATGCACACGCGTGCCATTCCATTTCTCGAACCACTCCCATGGGATGTCACCTGCAAGTCAGTGCCAAACAAGGCAAGATCGACATGAGATACCTCATCCGGGCAGAGATCCATGCAGTGCCAAAATATGGAAGGATGATGCTGTCCGCAAGCTCTGCCCATCAGAAGCTGGCCGCCAGATACAAGACTGGTTACTTACTCCGCATCATGCTGTATCTAGCAGCATGCGGATGTCATCAAGGATGATTACTCCCTAGCAGCCCATCGACAGACCTTGGACCTTGTTTTCCACTTGAGGGTTTGGGGTTTAAGGGTTTAGGGTTTAGGGTTTAGGAAAGGATGGAACCTACCTTTACAGTCCATGATTCTTAAACTACCACGACAACCAATGATAAAAAGCTCGTTTGATCCGCTCTCCCGCGCTTTTCCTGCCCTGCCTGCCACTATAGCACAGGTCGACTGGTCCGGATAGAACTCCTTGTAGGAGGGATCCTGGCAAGTTCCCGGTGACCAGGCTTTCAGGGGCACAGAAAGCAACCCCAAGAACGACTCCTTGCTGCTTGGAAAGGCCATTCCCACATAGCCAAACCTGGGGAGGAGAAGCACTGCTAGCACCGCTAGCCAAGAGTTTGGAGCAGCACGGACTCGACCGTCTGCTTGCACGCCATGCGCACGGAGCATCTGCATCTCGATCTCGCTGGAATTCTTCCATGCACTTCGGCAGGTCCTGACTCATACATAGTAAACGCAGCTTTGCTCTTCTAGTCTACCAGCGTACTCCTCCGACTCATATCAACACTTCGCGAACTCTGAAATAGCTCCAACTTGCTTCTATCGTGCGTGTTCAAGTTAACCAAGCAACATCTACCCGAACAAATTCGCTGCAACCGAGCTGGACCTCTCCGGGCAGCATCCAGGTGTTGTGACGGGGCAAGTTCAACTCCTTCGAAGAAGCACGACCGACAACCAGTTGGCAGGCTTCTTCAGGGAAGGGGCCGGGCAAGCTCAAGACCAAGCTGAGACATCGCCAATCTCACCCCTAGATCGCCCTAGTTGCCGAGGCCGCCAGTATTTGCGAGTGCCCTGTCGGACAAGCGCCCTCAAACATCAAGGTCGGGCTTCGCGACGGACGGGGTAGGGGGCTCAGAGATTGTCAATGCCTCCGCGCTGCCACGGATGCCCACAAACAGGAAGAGGTGTCCATGCCTTGCCCAGAGGCATACTCTCCCAGTCGCCCTCCCTCACCGGACGCAGGCAGTAGAAGTGTAAAGCAGGCCCCTCGTGCCCAGACAAGCTACATTAACCGATGGTCGATGACAAGGAAGTTTTTCTGCACAGGTGCTCACTCATACCAAAATTCTGCATAGTGGAATTCCATGTGAGAAATATGACGTGCACAACAAACATGTCCCGTTTCCAGGGCTAGTAGCTAGTATACTGTAGCTGGATGATGGAACCCGTGTCCATCCCATGAAGTAGCTTAACCGCAAAAGTCTACGTAAGTCTTCAGGTCAAAAATTCTTGCAGCCGAACCGCGTCCGTTTCAGTGGCTCCAGCCGCCGAGCGAACTGGCCAGTGGACAAGGTGAATTTCCCGAGCCCATTGGAATAATGAACTCAAAGTCGTCTCTGCTGCTGTCTCTGCCTGTCGATCCTCTACATCTCGCTCTATGGATGAATAAACAAACAGACAAATACATGAATTGATATATATATATACACACATACATATGCGCTTTCCCATCTTTGCCGGATGCTCTCTGTGCCCACGAACCCTTTGCTGCAAAACCATGTTTTCGTTGTCTCCGTGCCTATCAATCTCTCTGTAACTGCTTTCTGCGCACAATGGCATGCAGCTCTGGTTCGTGCAGTGCGGTCGTGTACGTTGAAAACACCTGTCTACACAGGGACTGCGGAGATCTACATCCACCAACGAGGCAAGCATGCTTGAAAGCTTGGGAAAACTCCAAGCAATTTCCTGGACCTGACCGCCACGGTGTTCCGGCCTCCTCATGGCATGGCTGGTCTTGCAAGAACTTCTCGGTACCATGCAAGCCAATGGTTGACACCTTCGGAACAGAGGGCCGGTGCACTCACAGAACGCTTTGGGGCTGCGAGCTCCGGACTACCACGGGCGCCCGGATAGTGAGACCATCTTTTGCCTAGGCCCAGGCTCGATGTTCGATGCTTCCAAACTCGAGCTTACTTTCGGATGATCCGATGCAGGGATTCGACTCATGCATGCGGTTGTTGCAGAATGTTGCCATGTTGCCAGCTGCACACCGGTGGCACGACCATCTTTGTCAAAAAGTATGCCGTTGACGCGAGCTCGGACGAAGACGCGGCCTCGTGGATAAGTGGCGATTGTGGTCGGGAGCTGAATCCAAAGGCACTCCAGGCCCCTTTCTAGGTGAGGTGAGCTGTGCTGGATGTGCGAGTTACGGAGGACTCTCTTCATGCGTGTCATGACTCGCTTGACTCTGATGCTGACGCCAAGAACCCACATCCTCCTGAAACAAAACGAAGCAGCTGCGATGAGGTACGGGATGAGTCACCAAGAGGAATCCATGACGAACCAAATCCTAGGAGGGCCCCTTTAAAGTAGCAGTGGCGACATTGACCCAAGGTCCATTGCTCGACATTTCGAGTCATGCTCTCACGGCTTCTCTGCCGTGCGACACCGCGAGCCCAACCAAAAGCCTGAACCGTAAGGCCCTGAGCCCCAAACCCCCCCAAAGACAGGGCCCAACGCTAAACCCTGATACACTTGACTGCCTTCCTGCCGCTCAATCTGTTTCACCATAGCAGAAGCCATCTTCGATGGGCCTCCTACCTCGGTTCAGGGCTTAAAGAAGGCTTTCAGACGGTGTGATTTCAGACGTTGAGGGCCGAGGGCGAAGTCCTTCGGTTCGAAGTTCGACCCTCCACCTTTAGCGCCCGCCTAAGGGCCCCCGAAGTGCATGAAGTCCTAAACTCTAAACCGCAGAAATACACAGCCCTGAACCCATAAGCGGCCCCAAACATTTCCGGAGGCGGATTAGGCACCGGGAAGTAGGCGCCCTCGCCGAAGTGGAGGTGTAACCCGAGCATGCTCCTAGGATCTTCAGGAATAACAGGACATGTAGGCTCCCCAAGAATCACAGCTATCCCCATAGGCAGAACCGAATCAACCAATGTCAAACACGATGAACACGAAAATGGCAATGCTGACTACCGTAACTATGCCAGAACAGTAACGATAATGGTTCAAGAAACAGTAACCACGGAAAAAACTTGTGATACTGGTAACAGTACTCAGTGCTGCTTGCAGCTACATGAGGTGGGTGGTAGTGGTAGCAGTGAAGCGGCAGCCGCAGCAGCAGCAGCAGCAGCAGCAGCAGCAGTAGCAGTAGTAGTGGTAGTAGTTGTAACAGAAGCAGGAGGAGCAGCAGTAGCGGAAATTGGAAGTGTCGCCTGACCTGGTGTGATACGGGTAGAATCGGAGCTGTCGGGGGGGGGGGGGGGGGGGGNNGGGGTGGAGCACTTTTTCTACGATGGTCATCGCCACTTACCAACACCTGCTTGGATCTCGTTGCGTGGCAGAGCTCTCTTCCCGAAGTGCGGAGGCATTAGGTGTGCCGGTACAAGAGGACATTTTGAGGCCTCAATAGGTAGAACAGTGTTTTGGAGTGTCTTACTTTGAGTTTCATAAGAAGCCTCATGAACAGTAATGGTAAGTACCCCGCCTTATTGTGCATCAGAACCCCCCCCCCGCCTGACTCCCATGGCAGCAACTCCTTCTTTGGTTTGGAAGAGCGAGTCTCCTGTAGTCCATCTTCTCCAGGGTTACTCCAATGCATCCCAGGGAGATGTATCCAAGAATCTCGGCGACGCTATGGGTTTTTCAATGAATGCTGGTCTCTTAACACAGCTCATCCGTTTCCGTCCTGAACCGCCTGTGACTCTTCGAAACGCAAAGACCTTTAAACCCCAAACATTCTTTAACCTTTGAATTTCCGGGCAATTGAATCGCCCCGCTTAGGTCACGCGAAACCGCTTGCAAATCTCGGTGTCCCTAGACCAACAAGCCTCAGGCCCTACATGTGCAAAAAAGCTTTGTCAAAAGCACCCTCGACTCTGACGTTGAGAGTGCATATTCTTGCATAGAGCTTCAGGGGGTTTGGGGATGAAGGTCTGTTGAGGCTCTTTACATAAGGGCCACATAACAACTCCGACCGTGCCCCAATGAGCTGGGATGTTTCGATCTGTAAGCAGGCCCTCCTCAAGCCTGAAGCCGACCTGAAACGCGAAACCCCAAACCCCAACCCATAACGCCAAACACCCTGAACTACCCAAGTTCTCGTGTGATGTGCCTTTCCACGCTCCTTTTTCGTCGCTGTGCACAGGAATTGGGTTTGCGAGTAGAATAGTGGCTGCTGCCTGACTGTAAGCATAACGCTGGACTCAGGTCCTTGCCGCTTTGAGACGCTCATTCCTTGGCATGAAAGTAGGATGGCTTGCAAACGAGTGTAGAGGTGTTGGGTCGTCGGAGCCATGCATGCCGTCTTGCAGCTAGGATGAACTTGGCAGTAGATTCAGTACGTAGATGCAACTGTCTCGTCATACTGTCACGGGGAGTGTCTGTGCGTTCCCCTGCTGCCCATGATCATGGGCCCCTTACTGCAGCTTCGGTACTGCGTGAGCTCCTGCATCTTCTTGCCAGCGAGCATGCAGAGGTGAAGGTTCGGGGCGGCCAGCAAGTTGTAAAGCTTGCGTTCTGAGCAGAGCAGAAAGGGGGGAAAAGGACCTTCTCTAGACCGTGACTCGTACGCATCCAAGTAGCTTAGCCATTCGGAAGGAATGCTGCGCCATATCATCATAGGAAAAAAGCTTGTCTGTGTCGCCTGCAATCGCAGTGGAACGAAGCCATTCGCTACTGTAGGACTGTAGGACATAATCAGCCAAAGCCCAGCGAAGAACGAGTACGTAAGTATGTCAGGATCCCCTACAGATCCCTTCAAGAAGCCCCTGCAGGAGTCTCGGAGATCGGCACCTTGAGGTCCCTGGCATAGACGTCGATAGCATCCCTCTCTTCCGGAAACTTCTCCTTTGAAGGGAGTTGAAGACTTTTCAGGTGAGCCCGCTTGCAAGTGCCAAAAGCTGCCGTCACAACTTCGCCTGCATGCATTGACGAGGCTGGGATGGGTCGTCAAACGGAAACTGCAACTTATCACAAGCTGCCCAGTTCGACCAGCGGAGGCATTCCCAGCGCAAAACACAACCCGCCCTGCCTGAAGGGCATTCAGCCAGTTCTTGATCCCTGACCTCAGGCACAGAAGTGACTCACAAGTGCACAAACCAATACTCTTTCTAGCATCTCGAAGTCTGGAGATGCCTGCTTGAGCATCCAAAGACTTCTGCCCAACATCAGCAAGAGCTGAGTCCAAGTACTGGTGCAACCCTGAACGAATCCAAGTGACGGGACACCAAACTTGTCTCCGTCGCTGAAGACGACCTCTGAGCAGGCTCAGGTCTACCTTGACTCTCCCAGTATTAGTATAGTATGTTTTTAACATGAAGTATGAATATGGTATATCATCGTATATTCATATTGTATATTGGGGCACCAAAAACTGCCGTGCTCCGACTGTCTCTCATCCTCATCTCAAACCCTCTGCCCTGAAACTCCAAACCCTGAACAAGCGCACAGCTGTGGGCACATGCACGCCAGTCCTTGTCGTAGATTCGCTCGGGACCTGTCTCCTCAATCTACATGTCGTGCACATTGGCACAGCAAAACCGAGGGTTTAGAGATCCAGAGTTTTAGTAAGAGCTAGAGTTCTGGGTTTTAGTGTCCTGGGCCTCTATCGGATTGAAAGTCAGAATAGAGGAGGATGACAAAGACAAAGAAGATATTGGCGATGATGATGGTTGCTGCCAATGTGATGATTGCTGTCGCGAAGGTGAAGGCTATCGTTGCAACTTTATTTTCAAAACAATTCTGCAACTGTCGCGTTCATCGCTGTGGTCACTCGCTACTCATGACCTGCATGCCGCAGCAGCACAGCTACGAGAAGAGCAGAAAACTTGATGATGCCCACCTTCTACCAAAGCATGGCAAAGATGACTTCTCAACCTCCTGACCCTAATTAGCATGCGACCAATGCTGACCAGCATCTAGATTTGCAAATTCAAGCTCATCGTTCGTCAGGGAGTCCACAATGGCGCGGAGCTCCTGGCCCTTTCGCATCTCTCCTGCCCACAACTATCAACAGCTGAACTTTTTTGAAGAAACCCAAACCCTCTAAACTCCCAAACCCTAAAGTCCCAAACCCGAAACCCCAAACCCTAAACCCCCAAAGCCCCGAAACCCTGAAGCTCTGTGGCCAGCTACACAGGGTCTGCCGGGTCTGCCATGGCCGGCCTGCGTAGTGGAAGCCGGTCTCGAAGTCATAACCTGGCAGGCTTTGGATTTAAGGTTTAGAAGTTTTAGGGGTTTAGAGTTTAGGGGCTTTGGGTTTAGGGTCTATAGGGGCTCCGGGTTTAGGGGTAGGGGTTTAGGGGGTAGGGGTTTAGAGTTGAGGGGCTTTGGGTTTAGGGTTTAAGCGTTTAGGGTTGAGCTTCCTCTTCGGCCCTATGTCCCTCATAGTCCCTATGTAACTGCAGTAGAATATGCTCGAAAGCCCCATTCTAGCAGCACTAATTATTGCGCCCATGTATTGGCATGGATATCTAGGTGTGTGTATATGTATGTATATATATATATATTATATAGATAGATAGAGAGACTTATTATTTATTTGTTTGTTTATATATATATATAGAATAATAATAATAGTAATAATAATAAATATATATATATAATAACAATAATAATAACAATAATAATAATAATACTATATATATATATATTCCCGCAAGTGGCATCTTCGGCGCCTTGCTCCTGAAAGCTGTGTAGGCCGCCGCCGGCTCGATCATGCTGCTCCTTTGCGCGGAAAGCAGAGGTAAGAGGCCTTCGGGTTTTGGATTTAGGGCGGTAGAGGGGTTTACCGTGGGGCTTTAGGCTCTGGGGGCCAGGGTTTCATTTCAGGATTTTAAGGTTGAAGGGTGCAGTCATGTGCAAGATCACATGAAGTCAGAGCTCCAGCACCAGCACACGGCGCCCCAAGCGCCCCAGCATAACAGCCAACGCAAGTCCGGCCGGACCTCCAGGAACCCGTCTAGCGACTAGAACGAGAATAACGGTAAGAACAAGAACTATAGTAAGCATATGTTTCTCAGCCTTCTCGCATGACTTGCTTCGATCGCGTTCCTTACTCCGAGGTTTGGCTTTTCATTCGCAAAGCTTGTTGGTGAGCATTGGGTGTCGATCGGTCGCGCGCACCCTCCTAAGTTCCGCACACGACTTGCCGCTATGGCCTTGGTCTTCGATTTGCTCCGGATCTGTTGGTGAAAACTTGGTAAATAAATGTAGAAACTACATGAGGTGTGGATCACGTGGAAGAGGATGACTGCCAATTTCTCATGGCAAAGCCTGCAAGTTTCAGCCGATTCAGCCTTAACCGCATCGCGTGCCACAGCAATTGCCCCCAGACCACACACGCGCCCTCTCTCACTCCCACTCGCCCCACCAGACAGCGCAAAACGAGATGAGTATGCAAGATCATGTAGACTCCAGATCCACGAAATGCCCTTGCAGATGCCAACCCCGAAGCTGGAAGGTCGTCAGATGCCTGCCCCAATCACCACAGCATCCGCCTCTTCAGGCAGGTCCTGATATGGTCTGACAGTACTGTGTTTCACAAGTGCCGCAGCATCCACAGTTTTGACATCTGTCTAACATGTTGACTTGTGGGCACAAGCAGTTGTCAGCTGTGTGCACTTATTCTGTCCTGCTTTCGCAATCCCCGTCGAAGGACGTCCTCTGCGCAAGACAACGCGAATGAATGCATCGCCAACACTAGTCATCGTCTTGTGTAAAGCGGCACTAAGAGTCACACCACAAATCAACGAAGACAGGCACCTGGAAATTGAAATGTTGCCTTTCACGAGGATTCACGAGGGAATAGCACCAAGAATCCTCCTATGTGATCGTGTTAGGTTCGTAAACTGCATGTAAAGTGACCGGCGGGCAGCAGGTCAGGTTCATCAACCAGCGAGGTGCGATCAACAACAACATGTCTTGTTTGGATGTCGGCACACATACAGACACACCCGCAACTCCCATAACCTATGTATGCTAGTACCCTACTATAACTGGCTGCCTCCGGCTGGCGAGCTGGGGGGAATGGCCTCGGCGAGCGAACGTCTGGACTTGTCTGACAGGATCTCCTGTCCAAACATATTCTCGCGCTCCGGGACGGTAGAGACGTTCATGTCAACAAGGTAGGGCAAAAGCTTGGTAATAATGCATGCTATGTTAGAACAAGAAGATCCTGCAACAGCCATTACAGCTTGCGGAGACAAACCCCAAACTGAATGTAACCTGGTCTAGAGAAACGACAAGCATCTCTTTCCTCACCAAAGAACTTCACAATCCTCCAGTTCTTAGCACTGTCCGACGCCACTGTGGCGCATTCTGCGCAGATGGCCAGTTGGAGTCGTCATCAAAAGAACAAGTCAAAACAGTATCTCATTTAAGTTCCCTCAGCCTCATATGACAGCACATCTGAGAAGGCCGGGAAGTTACAAACACGATACAACGGCCAAGGTCAACAAGACAAACTCAATGAACATGTGCGATTTCCGCGGGCTTACAAACCTGTGTTCAACTCTGAACCTCAATTACGAAAGGCATACCTGTCTTTCACAACTGCCGGAGGTCCAGAAACTGAAACTGCTTTTCCTGAAGTAGAGTTTAGGGTTGATAAACCCGCCAAAGTACCTGGAGATACAAAGAGCCGGATTGAAGGATCAGGGGACTCCTGAAGTCGCCACAGTCATAAAGAGGTTACATGCAAAGTCCCCCAGGCTGTGCCAGAAAACATGCCTTTTTTACCCCTCCGGTGTCTCGCTAAACCCCGAAAGCCTGGGCCCTTTCATCTCGACCCGAGCCAACAACCACCCGCTTATGGGCCCCCCCCCGTTTATCCTTCAGGCACCGCTGCAGGCCAAGGAGCTTCGACCGCCGCCGCCCGCGACGCAGGTACCAATTTAAAGCAACCAGAGCGGTGGACACCTGGAGATGTTAGTTTCATGTGGCCCGCTTTTAACGCACAGGCAGCGGAGTTCTGTAGTATCACCCTGTAGTTCCGAGCCAGGGAGGGGGAAAGAGCCTGTAAAAAGTCTGCAGAAACGGAGCAAACGAGTTGAATCTGCAAGAGCCTAAGCCGGCAAAGCTGCTCAGGGTGTAGTCAAAGTGTCTCAAAGGACAGCCGGGTCTTGCAAACCTCCAGTCAAAGATGTATTCTGACCGACTTTGCTCAGTATAATATAGCGTTCAATACTGTATTATACTCGAGTCATACTATAATGCTCAATTGCGGATCCATCACAGGACATGCTGCAACCGGCCCTTGCCACATTCTGCTCACTTCCGCTGCGGGTTGGAAAGCGGCTCAACTATGAAAACCGAAGGCCGGCAAATATCATAAGCCAAGCCAGCAACCCGCGCTACACCTCAAAACCTCTCAAGCCAGACCTGTAAAGCCAATTGTCAAGCCTGCTACATCTCCAAGTGTCGAAACCTTTGACTCCTCGGTGCGGCTGCCTCGGATCCAGAACTAAGGCCGCCACTGCCGCCGCGCTCAACGCCAGCGCTGTCGTGGAACGCTTCAGCAGGGTGCCCATGGTCGCAATAGGTCTCTGAGTTATGGGTGATATCACGACTTTGTTTGCTGACAGGCAATAGTGTTTAGGATTCAATAATTGGTTTGAGGCCTAAACTGCCGAAAGATGTTACTGTGGCATGTTACGATAGCCAATACGCGGGGGGGGGGGGGGGGG